TGGCCAATAATTGACTGGCATGGATACTTAACCAAAGGAGAAGTTGAAGGCAGGGTAAACGAGGTTCGTAATGGAGCGGGACAGTGCGCGGAAGCGTCGACGAAGCAAACTCGAAGTTTCCGAGGCATCTGAAAAGGGCAGCGAAGATGAATGCAAAAGTAAAAGATAGAAGAAAGAAGACGAGAAGGAGTAGGAAAGAGATAAAAGAAAAAAAAAGATAAAGAAAGAGACAACTACTTTGCACTTTCTTATAAATATTCATTCGTTCTTCCCGATGAATCAGAGGCTCGAGGCTCGCGCTCCAGGCGGTAAGTCGCGTTAAGAGCGCTAACGAGCGACCCCTCCGTCGACTGGGGCGTCGGGACGCCCTCTGCAATTCCTGATCCTCCTCCTCCTCCACCTACCCTACCTCAAGGAGATACTCGAGTTTCTCCAGCTCCTTCCACATCGTGGAAACCGCCAGGGCGTCCTTTATTAACCTTCGGTGTCCTTCGGGATCCTTCGGCGTCCTTCGGGATCCTTCGGAACCAGCGACTCTCCCCTTCTTCGTCTTTTTCAAACTTTCGCATCCTATTCCCACTTTCCGTCGCTCTCGGTCCAAGAGATTCTTCCTCGGTGCCCCCCGGTCCCCTTCGACCCCCTAACCCAGGACCCCGACCACCCCTCGAGCAATCCTACCAGCAACCGCGCGGCGCGCTGAGTTGTGCGAATTTGTTTAATTAGAAGTTAGGCCGGCAATACATTAGCAATGTAAATACCCCGCAAGCGACATAACGTTTTCGCAATCGACAAGGGTGCATCGTCTCGGAGCGCACGTAGTGCCCGTAAAAATGATGGATTTAAGGGAATTCGCGATTTCATTAGGATAAAAGTCACTTGAGTACAGGTACTTTTTCTCTCTCTCCCTCTCTCTCACTCTCTCTCTCTCTCACCCTCTCTCTCTCTCTCTCTCTCTCTCTCTCTCTCTCTCTCTCTCTCACCCCACCTTTCTCCAGTTCCCTTTCACCCCCTACAGTCAGCATCCCTTTCTCTATCCCTCCCATCAGCATCGCTCCACTCCGCTCACTCTCTCCAGGAAGCTCTCTCGCTGAGAATCCTGCCCTGGACCACTGCGCTAGCTGCTGGGGACACGAGGTGATTTAACGTTTCTGTTTTGACTTGCGTTCGCGTCTACCCCACCCCTCAACCCCCCTTATCTCCCATCCTCCTACCTACTATATCTGTAGATACGGCTCTGTATACACATCCCTATACTGTTATTATAATAATGATTTATGACGTTTATATCGTCTTAGTCATATAAATTCAAAGTTTGTTGCCGCGCAGAAGCGCGAACCTAAACGCGACGCACTGCCAGGTACATACGTATCTGCCTGTGTCCACATACGTGTCATATGTGGAGCACGAGTACATGGTATACAGATTGATCTAATGGGTAAACTGCCAAGAAAATTATTGGACTGACTCTAAGTATTGATTAGTCATTACCAATTACCGATGTCCCACATTCGATTACCTATATATATATACACACCCTTTGCACTCGTCATTGACCAGATCACGGACCGGTTTGAAAACGTGAATATAAAGAGATCACGTTGAAGGTGATAAGGATTTGAAAAATGAGTAAAAAAATGTTAATATAAATTTCGATAAAATTCTCATATATAATAATAATAATAATAACCGATAACATTCCGGCTGTTTACGAGAACATAAGAAACGGATGAGAACCGTGTATAATTAGTTGCGCATGAACGGCGCAGACCCAATGGACCAGTAGAGCGTCGTGACGACCAACCGTCATCTAATTATGTTTTACGTAGACACTGTAATAACTTCTGTAATACCTTAAGGTACCTTTATTTTTTCCTTCAAGCTACGCTCATGCACAGGCAATCGTATTATCCTGGCTGGCTGTCCAGCTTCCAATAACAATTTCACTGGGGTCTCTTCTTCGTCCCGGTTCGTTCCTTACCGTGTGTTCAAGTACGCCTAGCATCCTCTTCTTGCTGCCGATACTTCATTATCAGCGTGCGAGGAGAGATCTCCTCTCGTGGTGGTTCGGGCGACGCATCTCGGAGCTTAACGCGATTAGTCGTGTGCGATGACGACTTGAAAAAAGTGCAGTGAGCGCGATGCGTGAACATTACCCATAGTGACGTGGACGCTTCGCGTCGCGACGCACCGTTCGCCAATAATTATGCTAAACGATCTCCTTCGGCAACGGCCAAATCCTCGGGATCCTTCATACGTTTTCGCGACAATCCTAATAATTATCTCTTCGTTGATGCACATTTATATTGTAACTATATATTATTTATAATAATATCACTTATATGGTTACGTAACCTTTGGTGGATATATATATATACCCACCAAAGGTTATTATATATATATATATATATATATAATGTCTACGCCATTGTCAATGTCCAAGATGGCGCTGGACTTCATGGCGTATCTTAAAGACTGAGGATTGGCAGCCAGACTAAATATTATCCGACTTTTGATTCGCTACCGTCCGCCGACTATTTATCCGACAGTCTTATATTACCCGACCGTACCCAGTCCAGGAACGTCCCCGCCCGTACCGCTGGATAGTACATTAAGGAACATTAATATTTTGGCCGCTGAGGCGTATTGGCGACTGCCCAAATGTCCCGATGGCGCCTGAGCTGATCAGGTGGCTGGTATTATGGGCGACGCAATCATCCGTGCGTTGACTGTCGATCGTATGTGGTGCTAGTACGAGAGGTGGAAGGATGGGAAGTTATAGGCTAGATAGAGATAGATCGATGGTCAATGAGAAAGAGAGAGAGAGAGAGAGAGAGAGAGAGAGATGGTGACACAGTGAGAAGTCACATAGGCGAGGAGAGGAGGAACCTCTCAGATCGATGGTCAATGAGAAAGGACTGTCGATCGTATGTGGTGCTAGTACGAGAGGTGGAAGGATGGGAAGTTATAGGCTAGATAGAGATAGATCGATGGTCAATGAGAAAGAGAGAGAGAGAGAGAGAGAGAGAGAGAGATGGTGACACAGTGAGAAGTCACATAGGCGAGGAGAGGAGGAACCTCTCATTGGTTTTCCCGAGATTAACACCCATAACTCATTCCGGACACGGAGCCGTGCGTCACTCGTAGCTATGCTATAATTGCCGACATAAATCAATCGTCTGATGAGATCATAAACCCGCGGCGATACACTGCGCCAACAGATCCATATAGCCCAAGTGCCGGGATGCATGTTAAATGTCAATCGGTGTCATCCTGACGTACCGAGTTATGCGAGGCGTCGGGCGCGTCTGCTAACCGATGTTGCGACCCCGTCAACTGCGCCAGGACCCTGATGACGTCGAACGAGAAGACTGGAATTACAGGGACACAGGGGGTACCCATTTTGAAATTTCGGCACGGGCTCAGGGTCCGCTGGAACTCCGCTGGTACATTAAGCTCAACTCGATGGTCGTTATCGAGGTAACATAACCTAACTTTGTTAGCATTCTGTGTGTCCGCCTGGTACGATTTACAGAGGAAGTTTGAGTCTCGCGTGTGCTCGGTATTGGAATAGTTTTTAGTTCTACCTCGTTCTCGACTTTCCCTTCAATTTCAACTCTTTTTATCGTCGGCACGGCTTTGCGTTGGAAACGCGTAACCAACACTCCTGAGAGCTCGTGGCGCCCTCTGTTCCGAGTCTTCGTTCTGGGTACTATGCCGGTGCAATATTCGACTTGGAAACTGTAGGAAGTTAATGACGAATATATATATAACTCTGTAGGATTCCGAGGAAAAATTGACGAAAAAGTCAGGTCGAGCGGAACGATACGGAGGTCATGGTATTTTCCGATGGGCAGGTAAATAGGTAAGTGACTAAGTCAGTTGGGATGGGTCTAGCAGAGGTAAAGGGGCGCACGTTTGGTCCGAACGCTCAATGAGAGATGATTGGCCCAATTATATCCAGCGTAGCAGAAAATGAGGGGATTCCCACAGTGGCGGGTACTCGGTGTACCCATCTACGTGGCTATGTCAGGATCTGGTACCGCAGATTCCCTGGGTGATGGTCAGCCGCGGGATGAGGTCGCCAGAGTTCGCCCGATGGCCACCCGATGATTGCTCACGTCACTTTCCCGTTTACCGATAAGATCGTGCCTTATAGGTTAACCCAGCCATCCCTATGGTTAACTACGCTCGTCCACGTACCCCACCTAAAGGAATCAGCGAGCGTGAGCATCTTTCGCAGGATCCTTACGGCCAAGGAACATGTGGCAATCGCAGTGGAGCCTCCGGGGAATTCAATAACTATAGATCATCAGGATCGTGAGTTAACGCGAGCTTTACGACTCTTCCGCGCCTCTTTGATATCTAACAGCTTTTGGATTCTGACCTAACCTCAAAAAGGTATCCAAGCCAATTCCTCGGTACCGGTTGGCATTAGAGAAAAAAGTCTATTAATAATTCAAGATAACGTACCTGTATATGGACACTGAATTTTCAACCCTTCATCCAGCAACCGGAGGTCCGGATCCTCGGTCGGACTTTTGCTTGACTTATTGGCGACGACGCATGCGCCCCTCGCGTTCAAACGGAGAAGCAGCCGCGCACCGTGCCGTCCAAAGTCTAAATATTGAGACGGCGTTTATTTAGCGGGAGATATATGATATGACACGGACAATATAATGCATTGTATTCAAATACGGGAGCCGCGAGTCGTGACCGGGAGCGTACAGCACCCCCTGGCGAACGTTCGGTTAAACTCGGCGCACTTCGTACTCCGCCCATATAAATAATATCCAGTGGTCGGGGCTCTCAGGATTAGACGTAGGAACGAGCCGAGGAACGTTCCTAAGGTAAGACCTGTTCCGTATCCATTCTGACTGCGCTATATATAAATATACTATCTGTATACATATATAGGCTTTGATACCTGTATATATACATATACATACCTTAACAGCATGACAGGGAGTCCGCGCGTACGTTACCAGCTATCTTCGGTCCATATCAAATGCAGTCAAGTCCTCGACGCCCATCCCTTGCACCAGAAGTCCCACTGCATGCAGCTTCCAAGCACAGCCTTACCCTTAAGGCTCACCCGCAGAATGCGCATAATGTATCCATAGGATCCTTTTGGTTAGTTTTAGATACCGGTCCTGGTTTGCGATAACAAGGTTCAAGGTAGACACACGCAGGATCATCGGTACTGCCTGACGTGTATTCACATACGTGGAAATATAAAATAGGTATACTACGTCGTGTAGTTAGCATTATAAAATGATTAACTTTAACCGTGATTCATTTGATATTCATTGCCGGTCAGGATAAAAAATGATTCGAATGCCAATGCATCAGATGCATACGCGATGGGAATATCTTTGACATTGATACGATACATGTGCATATGCGAAGTAGATGCATGTACGAATGCACACGTGCCCAAGTCAGTAGTCCCTCTTGGAAATGATTTTACGTGTGCGTCCAGTGAATTCGATGATTACGAATGACGTTGAAACAAAGCCGAGTATGTCGGTGGTCCGTTGTGGGTGGGCCTGCGTTACGTGGCATACATGCATGCGTGCACGCGTGCATTATTTAGTATGCGGTTCATTCTCAACTAGGTGAAACCACGTGCGACGTGTGGACGCTCCCGTCTGAGCTTGCTCAATCTTTTTGAGGTTATAAAAAAAGTTGGGTTACGCCATCCAGCTTGTGAGTGCGTGGGGGTCAGCATCTGGTACCGACAAAAGTATCGTCATTTGGAAACGTACCTTGATCCCAGGACGTTCCCGATGTCACTCCCAATAACGAGGTCTGTCTTTGATGGTCCAGGAACTTAGAAGCGTCTCTCCCGTCCGGTTATTAACGTGTTTCAAGAACAGGAGGTCGGACACGTTATCGCTTCCTGGGTAGCCGTCATTGACTCCGGGTAGCCGGACTTCAGTTGACGTCCACCCTAAGCGAACGTCATCTTGGGTACTCAGTTGCAGGTCCAACTTCTTCGTTGAGCGACGTGTCCCTGCGAGGGGGCAGATGGAGGTTCAAGTATCGGACGGGTCGGGGAGAGGGTACCACTGGTGTGCTTCCCTCAGGATGGGTCGATCAGGGTATGAGGTGGTGGCACCCGGACAAGACGTAATATCGTCCCCATCGTCTGGCTCACTCAGTGCCGCCAATTCTGGGGACCCTCATATATCTTTTGTTTCTCAATACTTTTCGCGAGCTGTTTGTTATTGCGCCGTGGGACGAGGAAAGGGTGCCGGGGGGACAAGGAGGTAAGAGGAGGACCAAGAGCAAGCTCAGGGTACAGTAGACCCTAGTAATAGCGGAATAGGAGTAGCCAAACATAGCGATAGGAATAAGGGTTGACGATACCACCACCCCCCCCTCCCCCTGACGATGACGATCCTACCGATAGCCCTTGGAGGACGAAGACGTCCGAGAGGAGCCGGCGATACCAGAGGCTTTATCAAGGGTTGCCCAGCGCCAAGCTGCTTCGAACTAACAAACTTGCTATCTCGAGAACGGCAGGGAATTCAGGGGAAAGTTTCGTCATTGCGAAATGACACGAGTGGTCTTTATAGCGCGCCGCCGGCTGAGCATCCCCTATTGACTAAAGTGTCGCTGGCTGCTCTCGACCTCCCAGTCTCATCCCGTCGCTCGGCGATATTACCGAGACTGAGGGTCCGCGAAGATGAGGATGAGGTTAGTCGTATGTGTATGTTGGTTGATTTGAGAGACGGCGATACTTTTGGTATTGACTGTACATACTTGATCTCGAGATCCAAGGTGGACAGTTGATTCCCGTGGAATCGTCGCTGTGACAAAATTCAAGATGGCGAACATTCCACTACGTCACACCTCAAGACTGTCTTGTTGCTTGTTATCGAAAATGATCCGAAGGCTTACTGGGAGTCATCGTTATGTTGGGTAAGTGCGGCGGCTAATTCTTGTAGGAGGGTCGGTTGAAAATTTTATTAAAATAATTCCCTAGATACGTTGGGTACTTCGTCTAGTAATGTTTTGTAGCGGGTTCTGGGATTTTATCTTCAGGCTTCTTCCTAGCTTATATCCAGACTTGCTAGCTGCTTTACGGGTTCCATAAGGTGATATCCGGATACGTGACCGTTACTGGATCACCCTTGAAATCTGGGTGATATATATATATATATACACGTATGTATTCGGATATACGTAGAAACGTATGGATTATTAGTATTGGCACTAAGGAGGAGGCCCGATCCGCCTCGAGGGACTCGTGGATTCTCTGGATGTTTCACGTCCAGTGTTCCACCCTCGTATATAATATAACCACCTACGTGCCCACTGCACTGGAGCACCCTGTACATATGGGTATCTCCGAAGTGGCGAGTGCGAGGCGTGCGAAAGGAATCGGAGAAAGGTCGAGTGGAAGAAAAATTTGCGATTGAAAAAAAAAAAAAAAAAAATTCATCGGGTACATAAAATTCGCATATATTTTTTTTTGCAAGTTCTTCGTTTCACGAGTACCTGACAGCGTCGGCCGAATATTCAAACGAGCATCGATTAATAATATTCGAAAATAGTTGATGCGATTCCGACAGAGGAGATTCGTTTGATATATACGTAGAAGTTTGAACGTGCAATTTTTTTTCCAAGTTCAAGGGTCGCAACTGGGGGAAAAAAAAATTTCATGAACTAGGGGATGATCGGATTACCATCCGATATGGCTGAGAACGAGTTATGGGTGGATTATAATTAATCAGAGTATACAGACTTTTCGATTGACTCTTGACAGGAGCTACCCCCGGCTGTCGCTCAGCTCTCATCCCTTGGTAATCATCCCCTGATACTGATACCTCTACGTTCTCCGATGGCATTCCTCTTTCTCTCTCTCTCTCTCTCTCTCTCTCTCTCTCTCTCTCTCTCTCTCTCTCTCTCTCTCTCTCTCTCTCTCGTTTTCTTCCATCCTGTCGGATTTGTGAGCTAGTCAACTCTACGACGATAAAGCAAATAGATAATATCCGAACTTTAATTAAAAGTTGACGGCTGAGTGACATATTTGATTACCCGAGAATTTAATTAATCACTCGCTGGACCGAGCCTCGATAAGTCGCAGATTTGTATTTAAAATTATCTCCTTTTTCTGCTTTCATTATGGCACCAGCCACGACAAACAGCACGCTAACGAGATTAATTAATTCGCGGAATTATTCGCACGGGAACATCTACACGCGTTCCCGCACACCGTTCAACTATGCGCCAGCACTGTTTACACGAATCCAAGGTGCGCGAGTAATTTTCCCAAGATATTCCTATAACCAATACAGTGGCAATTAATGACTCGTAATGTCAAAACAGTCGATCGCTAACGATCATTGTCAAAACAGCCATATACGAATGGTACCCGAAAGACTTTTTTTTAACAGCTAAAGTAAAAAGAAAATAGAACGTCGGTTGCGTGAATATGAAAAAAATAAGAAATTAATAATTCAATTACCCGGTAGCAGTTCACCCGGGAAGAAAATAACGTGGGATTAATAAATTTAAAAATGACACAGTTCGCGTGCTGCATGCGCGATGAATTAAATAACGCGGTAAAATCAATTAAACGCGTAAGCCAGTTCTTCGTACGATTTAACGATCGCAAGTCCTACTTGGTTAATGCAGCTGCAAGTCCTTCACGTGCGTAACCTACCTCAAAGAAGAGATAGGTCAGATAGCTAAACTCAGTTATACCGATTTTCTTACGAGCGTTAAAATCCCATGATTTTCGTCGAAGAGAGGAACGGATAGAAAAATTAAAAAAAAAATGTCCAAAATTTTTGAAAATTTCAAGGACCTCGTCACTGGTACCCCCCGTATCCAAGAGCAGCAGTAGACCGATCTTAGAGCGATATTTCACGTCCTCCCACAATGTCGGCGTTTACCCTAATGGCACGGACAAAGGGCAAACAGTGCGCGCTGCCCCGTAGTCACGCGTGCATAATCGGCCGTGAGCCGAGCAAAGTCGAATCGTTCCGATCCAAGACGAAGGGAGCCGACCTGCCCGATATGGTCTCGCGTTGTCGCATAATCTCCGGGCGGTATATGGTACAGTGCTACCGGGACGTGTACGAAGACAGTAGGGAGTTACGAGGATGGTAATTGCTTTTGAAATCGTTCGTGGTCAGTAGGCAGTGGTCGTACCAGGTACATAGATACGTGTCGAACCGATTTGGTTTCTCGTGTGATCCGTACCGTAGGAGTGGCGCTGAGGTCGCTCGGGATCATTAGCCGAAGACGACTCGAAGTCATTTACATTAATGACATGGACGAAGCTTACGTAGGTTGGACGTGGAGATGGAAGACAGTCTTTCTTATGGTCTCAGTTGTGCCGGACGACCCCGAGGAAGATGGCGCTGCATGCGCGAAGCCGCATGGCCGACTAATCATGTGAAATAATTACGTTTTGTTTTGGCGGCGACCGCGCCGCCATTACCTGACGGACACTCGCTCGTCACGCGAGCTCCCAGCACACGTGAGTCTCCGAGCGTACGTGAAGGAGGCAGAAGAATGACAGGGCTGACAAGTGTGCGAGGGAGATGGAAGACGTCTGTGATGGCCGCTCTTGATGGGGTGGACCTGGCTCAGGTCTCTCTCTAGCGTGTCGGAGGGACTCTCGAGTTCTTGTGGCGAACCACACAGGGAGAACTTGAGGGGATCTCCATCAGTGCTCGTCACGCTGGCTCAAAATACCGTCATTTGCAATATTCGTGACTCGCCGTGGTGGCGCTGCGATCGCTATCACTCTTACGTCTTCTGGTACCGGCAGCCACTGCGATTCATCCGTTAGGTGCATTAAGAATTAGTGACGCCCGATTGGCCCTTTTCTCCGAGAGACCTATTGCATCGCAACAACGAAGTACAGTAAAAAGAAGAAAAATAATATAAAATTATACAATGGGAAAGTCGTAAAAAAAAAATCAAAATCAGATATCGATTTCAGGATTTGAATCTCCCGCGCGTTGGATCCCAACTAAAATCGTGATCTATAATATTCGCGAAATCGTAAAGACGCGCAGGTATACAAGGATGATTGAAGGAATGAAAGATACCCTGAAAATATGAAAGGGTGCTGAAACTCAGTGGCAGTCCCTTTCAACGCGTACAGCAGGGGTAGAAAAGGTGAAAGCAAAGTATCTCGGACCTCGATCCCGGTACGCAGAGCGAGCAGGAGAGTAAAAGAGAGAGAGAGAGAGAGAGAGAGAGAAGAGGCATACGGCACGAGAGAAAGAAGACGAGAGAAAGAAGCACGAAGGACGCGACGCGATAAGACGAGAGCCGCGTCAGCTTTCAGCGTGTTTCGCCGGGGCGTGGATCGTAAATCGCGGACCGCATAGCGCATCAGATATTTGGAGGGAGCGACTAAGAATTATGGCGGCGAGTCTCACAGGCAGACAGGGCCCGCTGCTCTATTGCCGCTCGCTGAAGGCAGCTTCGGTATATAACTTCAGGTATATCCAGTGCCAGTAAATTATACGCAAAGTGTACGCGAGGGCCCCCAAACCCCTCGGTCCGTCCCTGCCTTTGGATCCCTCCGTTCTCTGCCCCACCAGGACCCTCCTCCCTTGCCCCCCCATCGCAACCGACCCCGAGCCACCCCCAGAGGCCGCGCCTGCCTCACGTACATCATTATGATTGATCGCTTCACCTTACTTTGTAATTAAAACTAGTTGCCATTGTGCCCAGCTCCGTGCTCGCTCGCTAGCAGTTCACATCCCTCTCGCTCTCTCGCGCCTCTTGCCCTTGCACTGCTCTTCTCTCTTATTGTTGCCCTCTCGGTCCCTCCTTCTCGCGGCTACCAGTATCGTCTCTGCATTTACATACACACAGCGGCAACCGGCAGCAAGCACCACCATCGCCATCACTGGCAACAGAAGCAAGCGTGCTGCGCCACGAGCGACCTATCACGGATCCCTCCTTCAGTCCTCGTTCCTCCGTTAACGTCCTCGGAGTTAATTCTCTCTGTTCCTCTTTCTCTCTCTCTCTCTCTCTCTCAGCATCTATGCCGTCCTTCCCGGTCGCCATCCTCATCCTACAAGACCTCCGGAGAGGGCTGGAGGACTCCACTTCCAACTCCCCGTACCCCCCTACGTCATGGCAGTCCGTACCCTCCGAAGCCCCCCGCCCTGAAGTCCCACCAAGTCCCGAAGCCCGAACCACGTCCCAGCGCGCACCCCTGTCTCTTTCCGAGGCCATGCGTCATAGTTATCTATGCTTTTTGCTCGGAGACTGATTTAGAGCTGTCTAAGGACCGAGCCCTACGAAATTAAATAATTGCTAATTTATGGCGCAGATCGTAGCTCGATGCTAACGTTAAATTTAGAGGAACAACAGCCACGACGCGCGATAACGTTTTATACGCTCTCTCTCTCTCTCTCTTCCTCTTATGCGCATGCGCGTATCTCGTAGAGCGTCGAGGGTATTTGCTTTTTCAAATTACTCCATCTCTCTCGCTCTCCATAAGGCTCGGATGGCTTATCCGTTACTCTGTCTCTCTTCCACTCATTTTTGTTGATCATCGCCAAACCTCCTTCGCCGCTGCCAACTTGATTTACGCTTAATGATTTCAATCGGCACCCTCGCGTCTCGGTCGCTTTCGGCCTGACACTTCGTGACCTCAGCGCCTCCACGATAATGCGATAGGTATACCAAGCATGGAACTCTGGAGCTACGGCGACCTGGTCGCAACCTCAGGCGCGACCACGGGACACAGAACGGAGAACAGTCAGGTCCGGCGAGCCTGCAGGCTGCCGTCCCAAGGCGCGAAGAAAAATTGAGGCGACCCGACTGTACCACGTGAATCCGGAGAAAGAATTTTGTGGAATTTGCGCATGCTTCGTCGACGATACGAAATTTTGATTTTGAAAAATATTTTTTTGACAATGTTTTTTTTCTCGTGGAAATTGAAAATTTGTATGTTTTACGTGGTTTTCTTTTTTCAAGGTTAAATACTTTATATCTTATGGACCCGTATCTTTCTTCGGTCCAGCATCCCGTCTCGTCTCATTTCGAATACAGAATGCTGCGCTCATAAAGTGCATCCTGCGCAGTGAAAACATTCCACACGTGCGTCCAGACGCAGGACGTTACACCTCTACACGGGCTATGCAAATTAATGGTGACGCGGTTTAATTCGGCAATAAATAGGGGTCACCCTTGTGTCGGCCATTGGGCCATCACTCACTGTTCCTTTTTGTCCTTTACCTGGGAAAGCTTCAGATTTATTTGACGCGTTTCGGCCATATTTATAGGTCCGGTTAGCTCGTGCGTGTGCGACATCGCAGCGGCTCAAAATCCAAAGCCTGTTTCTGTCACTGCTGGACACCTTGGAGCAACGACGCCATACGTCGTTACGTCGGTAAACGTCACGACACCCGGTACCCTATATCAAAATTCGGACGAACGTGACTGTTACGCGTAATCCCATTGGCCCATAGAAAAGCGACTGACGAATGAATTTACACAAAAAAAAAAAAAAAAAAAAAAAAAAAAAAATAAAGAAATGCTGTACTAACCCTGACGAAGCGACGCCCGTTATATTATTAGAGAAGCACGTTGGCCCCGTCGCTCGGCTAATCCGTAAAAAATAAAATTTATCGTTTAAAAAGAAAAGAGGGCTATGGATATAAATCTCGGGTATTATAATGGGATCTGTCTATTATTAAAGAATGAGTGATTTAGGGTGAACCCAGACCCAGGGCGCCCCCTGCCGAATGTGACGCCCCTGAGACTCGGAAACAAAATCGAACATGAATTTCGATCGGCGTCTTCGTTCGCATAAAACCGGAACCTCATTCGGATCAGCATTAAGGACGCTGGACCACTTTGTGGCTATGTAATTCAGGCTTTACCTAACCCAAAACCAGATTACTCAACTCCGACGTACATTTCTCATCCCTCGTACGTCTTATCAACGGTTACATCCTAGTCCCTGTTCCTTGTTCAGTAACTCGGTCCAATTCCATTCGTTCCTACCCTTCAATATCGTTACTCACAATACAGATCCATAAAGGGAATCCGTGGTTCACAGTTTCTTCATTCTCGCCCCAGTGGTAATCCTAGAAGGAATTGACTATCCCCCAACAGCCAAGGGTGGTTCGGTTCCGTACGTTTCTCTGTCTAGCCATCCGTCCGTACGTCCGACGGTCCGTCTGTCTGTCCGACGGTCAGGCAGCGCCTGGATATTTACGACTGACCGACTCATTGCCGCGGCGAGTGAGCGAGCGGTCGCCACAAATCACGTCGAGAAAGCCGGCCTTTCTCCGCTCTGGGAAACGCCTGGCATTTTTCTCTGCCGGGGATAACTTTGACTTATTGGTGACAGCAGGAGAGGAGAGGAGAGAGGAGGAGAGTGCGAGAGCACGAGCGGAGGAGTGAGGGGAGGAAAGAAACAGTGGGAAGGGAGAAAAAGAGAGTGGGGAGGAAAAGAGAAAGAGAGAAAGTAAAAAAGAAGTGAGAAAGTAACGACGTTCTACAGGAAGAGACATAGAGGAGCATGGAAAAGCATAGAGATGCTGGGCAAGCTGCGGAGGAGAGAAAAGTGATGGTCCTGCCGGTCCAGGATGGATAGAAAGGGATGCAGGGAGGAATCTGGTCCGGAATAGAATGGTTACTGGTGGCGCAGGGATCTCTGTGGAGGAACCCGGAAGAGAGGAGACTGCGACGAGGTATAGTTAGGTTACGTATAGTGGGACCATGTCTGAGTGTCAGCTGCTCTCACGATAAATAACGTCATCCGGATGACGTACGACTGCCAGAAGGATGATCAGTCCTCGTGAGCAAATCGGCTGTGATACTCGATCCTTCGGTGGAGACCCCAGGGTTCATTTTGGATGGTCTAAATGAATTTAAAAAAAATTCGAAAGAGATCAGTGAAACTTTAGCAAAGCCAAGGTACCGCTTCACCAGGTGACCTAGTCGGCGCATACAGTCCGGAAATCCAGGGTATAATGTTCAGGAAGTTAACGGTGAGGAATGGCGCAATCGTCAACTCCCTATAACGTGGAACAAAGTGCAGACAGTAATAACAGTGCCGAAGTCGTAGTTCACGATGGCCCCGTAATGCCATTTGGATCTCTGGTTGGGTCGCCCGGGTACGTGTACCGGGTCTCCAGGATACGGCAGTGGATATGCCATCGTATAAATCACGACGGTATCTTCTGGCGCGGCGGCTCGCTCATCACGGTAGAGTTCTTGTCGCGCCTTAATAACGCCGGGCGTCTCTTCTGGTGCGTCCCGGGTCCGCCGTCGTATACGGTACCGACGCGGATGCTGATCCAGAGCGCCACCCTTGCCGGTCGCAGCCAGCAAGCAGCCTCCCCCCGTGCCCCTTGGACCCGGAGGCAAGCCCCCCTGCTCGGCTCGCTACAAATCCTGATTATACTCTGCAAGTGACGTTATACCGTAGGGGTGCGATGCCGGGTTGAAGTCTGGTTTTTGTTTCCCTCCTCATCTTCCTCTTCCTCATCTGCGAGGACCTCCTGTTCCTATGCTCTCGGTACCGTTCGCGTCCTTGTTCTAGGCACGGTCCTCCTTTTCTCTATCCCGTGGGTTGTCGGGCCGGGCAGCCGTCCTTCCTCCTCCACGAAAGCGCGTTCCTCTCATCTTTACCGGAGCGACTGACAGCCTGGACCGCGTAAATCAATTTTCAATTACAGCTTTAGTATATAGTAGCGAGGGTAGGTAGGTAGGTAGGTAGGTACGTTGGTTAGGTAGATGCCTGTGTATCCGACGTAGAGAAAGATGAGAGTATAGGAAGTCGAGATGAAGGAGCGAAGCAGTTTGAGTGAGGAGAGCTGGACCCAGAGAGAGAGAGAGAGAGAGAGAGAGAGGAGCACCAGGAGGCCGAGGACGTGAAGGAGGTTATGGTGGTTTGAGTGAGGAGAGCTGGACCCAGGTACGTTGGTTAGGTAGATGCCTGTGTATCCGACGTAGAGAAAGATGAGAGTATAGGAAGTCGAGATGAAGGAGCGAAGCAGTTTGAGTGAGGAGAGCTGGACCCAGAGAGAGAGAGAGAGAGAGAGAGAGAGGAGCACCAGGAGGCCGAGGACGTGAAGGAGGTTATGGTGGGCAAGGGGGGCTGGGAAAGAGGGCGCCCTGACTCGGCTCGGTGGGTACGTACGTATTATTATACTTCGCTACAGTCATATTTATAAATCAGCGATATAGCACGACGAGCGGAGACGGAGAGGGATGGAATTTATAGCTTCGTTCTCTTTCCTGCGTCCCACCCTTCCGAGCTCCCTATCGCACTCGCTATACTCCCTGCCTCCTTTGGCGTCCCTCTTTCAATCCCCCGGCCTAGGAACCAACCTCCTCCGACCCCGAGACCCCTGACCGCTAGGCGTCGGCGTCGCCGTCACCGTCTCTGCGTCGTCCTCACTCTCACCCTCTTCTTGTCTCTCTCTCCTTCTAACCAAGTCTCATGACTTCACTCTGACCCTCTCAGTCACTCTCTGCCTCTATACCCACCCCACCGATAGCTCTGGCACTCTTCATTCTCTCTCTCTCTCTCTTGCTCTCTCCTCATCCTCTCGACGGAGAGTGCGCGGGCATACAAACTGCCAAGCCCGTACATATGAGCTTAGGTCGACATTTTCCGTCCTCTTTGGCAATAAATCTGCGAGTCTTTTGAGCCGGGGGTTCCAGCAGGCCAGTGTTGGGGCTGGGGTGTACCAGAGGTCGCTCGTTCGCTAGCGGCCGCGTCACGGGAATGTATATAATTAGCAGCATTGTGCTTCCTCGGACAGATTTACGGGTCGTATCGCTACCGCGGCTGCATGCATAAGCGCGTTAAATAAGTATTTATCCGCCCCGGGGGATGATGCGAGCCACCGCTACGTTCAGTGATGGATAGATGCCCGGACCTCGAATATATTAAACGCTGCCCCACTCCAGCCCTCGACAACCTTCACCTTCCCAAACATCACCTTCAACCCTCAAGCGACACCTAGATACTTGGCACAGCCTCCGGCACCTTTTATACAAACCGCGTCTTATTCAATTCGTAACCCCTCCCCGCCGCCCTTATGCACACGTGCACTTTGCGTATTCTGCAGGCTGTCTTTTTTTAGCTTGAAACATCCCTTTCTTTTTTTGGGAAGTTTTTTTTTTCATATGACGTATAGCTTTGTTTGGCAATTTCTTTGCACTTACGGTCAAAGCTTTTTCTTAGGGTAGTATCCGCTCGACGACAATGCACCAGGAGGTGCAAGCACCAGCTTGCAACACCGGTAGCGTGCATCTATCAACCGGTGATCGAATCATTTATCACCTGACTACCAGGTTGCGCTGTTGTCGCGCTACAGCCCACTGCATAATGCGCGCCACACAATGAGGGAAGCGTGCGTGCTCGTTCACGGACACCTCGTGGGAGCGCGACTACGAATGCAACGTATCCTCGTCCTTGTGTTACTACGCTGATCTTGTCCAGGGCCACGTGTGTCTGGCTTCGCGTCAACTTTCAAAAGGGTTGACGGATGGTCGCTGCGGGATGGAAAAGACGACAGCCGCGCATCCATCGTGTTTTCATGAGACGGCAGCTACTCCCCTGCCGAGACCAGTTTCTCACCATCATCCCTCTCGGCTAGAGATGACCGCGTACCTCCACTGTCAACTATCCGGGGTCCCCGGTATGACCTTTGACCTCCGTAAAAATTCGGAAGCACCCAGGTAGCCTGGGACGAACTCCATTCAGCGTCCTGACCGCGCAACTTCACTCTTATGAAGATAAAGGACACTTCGGCCACTCAGACGCCATATTAACACCAGTGTTGCTCTAATGGAGGTTTCGCGTATTGCGTTATATAACGGTAATCGTACCGGAAGTAGCTGACCAGCGACAGGATCCTCATAAGTCAGCTGGACCATGGGTACCCTGAAAAAAAATACATCTCTTTAGTTATCTATGCACGTTTGCAGAATGTCTAAAATTTCTCTGAAGGGTGTAACATCTCCCCTAACTAAAGGGTAGCAACACCATCCACCCTTCTTCTCACCCTCTTAACAGGTCGAACTAGCATCAGTTTGTCTCATTTCCGGGATCCAATCTCTCGGCTAGGTGGTGGCACCCCTCGTTCTCTCCGTCTCGCTCCCTTACTACGTCACTTCATCCCCCGTGATCCAACTCCTTCCACCCCGAGCCCCAACTCCTCACCCTAGGCACACTAGCTAAACCCACCCCATTACCGGGCGGCACTTTACCGCTCTAGCTAGCTCTGCTGGTATGTGGGAGCTCATGAGAGTCGCAGGGAGGGGATGACTAGCCTAACCCAACACCTACGGAATGAAGTTAACTTTATCTTGCACCGGCCCGAAAGCGAGTCGCGCGATTCAGGACGAGCGCCAAGTGTATCGCGCGGCGAGTTTATGCGAAGCGCCACCCGAATTGCACCAAGTCGACTACTTGCCCCGGAGCCGAGACAACCTGAGAGTCGAAGGACTCGACGCTCCTGGTACTTCTGTATGCTGCTTCTCTATATAGCCAGAGTGACGCTGCCTGGGGTTCTTTAGTGTTGGCTCAAGCACACCGTGAAAACTTTGTCCATTTCCATCTCTGCCTTAAAGCCCATCTTTTGCGATATCTACTGCTAAGAGCCGACAAGTTCTGCCCGATTACTTGAAGTTCCTCACTATCCCAATAGAATAATATGATGGGCTTGTCCGATAGTTTTTTTTTTGTATTCACACAAGCAACTGTACCCAACACTTTTTCGACACCTGAAAATTTCAATATTTTTTTTTCAATGAATTTTATTACTTTTATACAATTTTTTTACATACCTTTTTTCTTTTCCTCCACTTTATCTTTTTCCATTCCACATCTGTTGACAATCCCGCTGCACTCGCGAGTTTCCACGCACGCATTCACGGCATGTTCAATGGCGCGACGCGAGCGTTAAAATCAATAAATTACGAAACAACGCATTAGTGCTGGTCGCACGATACTAATCAGCGAAATTTCCGTACGATAAATAAATGAGAACAGGAGAGATAGGACCGATGCGCGCGACGCTGATGTCGATACGATGATACCGGCACTTTGACATGACCCGCAGGTGCACGAGCGATTTCATAAATCTGAAAAGTCACAATATTTAAAAAAAAAGGATAAAAAAAGCACAAATCGAAAACGACACACAAAATATAATCCGCAAGTACCATTCGCTTCTAATTACAAGAATAATTGTAATAAATTACACCTAAAACACATTCATCCAATCTACGATTACTTACGACTGTTTATGTCCACTTTTAGGTTAGGTCAACTTCTAAACCCAAGTTCCTCGATGTAAAGGCTAGAATCAGAATAACCATAGTGGCAAGAAGGTCGCATAGCTGCCAGGCCGAATGTAACGAGGCATCGCTTTATCTCTTTGCTATTATCTCCGCCAGGCGTGTTTCCAACGCACACTTATAAAAGTTCGGTCGTCGCTCGCGACGGATCTCAGCCGCTTCTATGTAATCTGTAATGCATATATATATATATATATATACATATATCTATATACACGTATACCAACGTATTATATATTGTATGAAATATCATTGAGGGATGGAGGCACAACAATACAATCAGAATACGAAACGTCATTCTCTTCTGCTTGGTTATACGAGACGCGACCATTCGTGCGTGACCATTGGGCCTCTCTTGGACTTTACAGTTCTCCACTACGTATCTGTCTATCCATACGTCTGTCTTTACCTTCATTCGTCCATCCTTACGTATCGCTGTCCCCAGTGTTTAACGTTCTCCTCGTTGTCTTCGTTGTCTCTTCTCTGCTGGTATGCTTACGTATGCCTTTGGTAAGTTTTCTGTCTCTCCGACTATTTACTCCTTTCCCTCGTCTCTTCTTCTTCACTTGTCTGTCTTTTGTCCACTGTATTTCCAATGTCTCCGTTCACTACACGACATAATTCAGGGCCGCCGTGCCAAAGTCCGATCGTAAACATTCGTTGACGATGCCTAACCTGCGCGAGCAGTGCGACGCGACGGTTATGCGGCGGAATTGTGAACTAGAGGTATCGAGAGCGCTCGGAAAAGTGGCGGGAATTCAACTGACGTTTGATTTGAATTTAAGTGGATTTGAATAAAAGAGAATCGTTCGAGGGGACTGTGCAGCCCTGATAGTCGAAAAATCATGGGACATTCGAATTATCGGGTATGGGAGCAATGACGGCGGCGGCGTCTCTTGTATCCTTGATTGTTCTCTGAAATGAAATATATTGATTACCGTCACTCAATGAGGCTCCGCTCCTATCTTAGGCTACACATCTTATTCTCTTTTTCAACCGCTTTGGGATGACTTGCAGGTTCCGGGCTGTTTCGGTTCATCTGCGTACCTTGATGTCGCCGCGAGCGAACTGATCTCTCAAGCCTCTCATGGGCCTGGAGCCCCGTGTATCACATACAGCCATATACTGTTATTGTACATACGTTGAAAATCATGCACCGTTGATATCCAATGGATTTGGTGACGATGACGGACCGATTGAGAATAATGTCTTCTGTCACTTTTGTAAAATCTTTTTTTTTTTTTTGGTTACGAAACTGTCAATACCTTTATAAGTAGAGCGATCGTTAAATAACGACGGCGTGAGATCAGTTTTATCCTCACGTAATGCAACCGTGTACAGACCACTAGTTTGGCGTTCGAAAACAGAAACGTAATCTTTGGACGAAAATGAAATTTGAAAAAATTCTGCTTTTTTAGCGAGAGAAAAAATGGTGATGCCAACGCGTCAACTGCTGTACGGGCTGCCGGGACGTTTTTACGGGGTGAACTAATAGACTCCCACTCGCTGGCTCAACTCGGCACTTGTACACCCCCCTTGCCTCCCCTTGCCACCCCTTGACCTCATCCTTGCTCTACCGACTCCTGTTAACCACTCTCTCTCTCTCTCTCTCTCTCTCTCTCTCTCTCTCTCTCTCTCTCTCTCTCTCTCTCTCTCTCTCTCTCTCTCTCTCTCTTTCTCGTTCTCTCTCGCTCTTACTCACCCTTGAACTCACTCTAGCGCGCGCAAATAAAAGTTTGCCGTGACCCAACGACACCTGTTGAACCACGCTGGCCAACTCTGTTCCCAAAAAATCAGCAATTAGCTTATGAAACCTGTCCGTCAGCCGAATCGAGAAATATTCTCTTGCTACGACACTGGAATACGTTGCTGGATTGATAACTCGATCTGCGTATTTTGGTGATTTTCATACGATACAAATTATAGAGATTGTATGAAAATTATCAAAAATACATATTAAAAAAAGTTTTACTTAATACCCATATGCAAATTATATTATTGTGTTAGAAAAAGAATTTTTGGAATTTTTTATATTCAAGTATTATCAGAATTCAGGAATTTTTTAAATCAGGAACTACTGATCAGATCATTTGAGTGGCTGGGGTACTTTTTAGAAATGTATAATAAATTAATAGCCATGTTCATTATACGTCGACAATGGTTAAGGTTTAGCATTGAAATTGCTGGATATTGATTGACACGAAGAAGAGGATTGACGAATAATCATTTGAAAGGGTTGACGAGTGATTGCGAGCATCGGGCATCCGTGGTGCTAATCCACGACGAATACGTCACAATCACGTCGCGTCCGCGCCGATATCATTTATACGATTATCCATTCACGGAAGTCCATATTGGATCGTGCGTAGGGTAATTTCAAATAATTTGGCAAGCATCGAAAACGTGACGCAATAAACTGCCCGTACGCTTATTATTATATTTATCATTTTAATTAGCCACTTTGGCATCCAATAAAGCGCACCGGAGTGGGATCCGCATAAAAAGCATATAAATAAAAAAAAAAGAAGGCAGTTTTCATCTCATAATTCCAATCATCCAATATCACCGTTCTACATTACCATAAAATAAAAATCATTCGAAAACGTAATAACTTCCGGTTATCATTGAAATAACATCTCGCTCCCGACCTCACAAGACTCTCATCCAGATTCACGTTTTCCCGGAGCAAGGACATCGGTTTCATGGAAATTTACGATAACACCCGGTAACCCTGGGAGACAGCGTCCAGCGTCTCAGTTATCTCGGAACAGGAAAGAACGCCGGCGTCGATCTCTATCAGGCCCGAGGATAGAAAATCGTCTTCTTCAGGGACGGCTGTAAGCACATCCGGTCAGTCCCCATAAATTAACAAGGATGGAATGTCCTTTCCGGAAAGTCCCTCGAAGCGCATCCCGGTTATCCCGGTTAAAAACTGCTGGAGGAATCAGAATATCGTAAGTCCCTTCCGGGTAGTCCTCCCTCCCCTCCAACCCCTCAACCTCCCCTCCACCCACCCAGTCCCACCCTCCCCTCATTCTCTCAGAGAGGGATCCATCGAGCCTTGGCCACTTCCTGTCTCCTTCCTACGCTACAACTCCCCCCCCAGCCCCTCTCCACCCAATCCGGAAAACTCCTCCGCAGCCTCCACACGCTCCTGCGGGAGGACCCACACCCCTTTCTGGGAGAGGGTATGTTTATTGCTCGAAGCTATCTCTTCTAGCGAGGGTGGCTGCCGCGTCACAGAGAGTCATTTTCATAATTTGGCCGTTCGTATTCTCGACGGCCGCGCGGCCCGAATCGAACAACAGCCAGAGGCCGCGGGCGCGGTGCGCCGAGGACGCGTTCCTCTACTCACTTTACTCTCTTGGCTCTTCCCTCCCCTTCTCCTGGGAACTCTCCCCCCACCACCTTCCAGCCAAGTCACCCCACCACCCCCCGAACCGTTCCAGAGTATATCCCTTCGTCTTGCTCCCCCTCGCACCGGATCCCACGTTATCGCAGACTCTCTGGCTCTTTTAGGTAGGAATACTCTAACCTAGCTCTATCTGAAACCTCTGCCACTCCGATCCTCAGTCCTGAGGTCCCGAGGAGCTACCGAGGTACCTCTGTATCTGGAGTGCGCTAGTCTGCGGAGTCTATCTGGTACCACGGTCCTACAGATACCTTACCGTGTATATATACGTCTCTACTCGATACCGGGAATGTACAGCCTCTTCCACGTCCCTCAGAGTCATTGCCGGGACAAGGAGGGACGTCGGGGAGACGAAGGGAGGTCCAATATGGCGTACCGACTGATCTATGCCGACTGTCCAAGGATTGATGCCAGCCAACCAAGTGCCCAGGAATACTTGGTACTCGATGGCCGACCCGGCCATGTCTGAGTTCTCGAAAATGGCAGCCGGTTGGTGAGCTCCGTTGCCGCGGGGCAGGGATCCCGGGTGCGTTGAGTAGTTTATAGCTGATCTTGCAATTGGGCTGGCACGTGACTTGACGTGAATCGATGCTAGGGAATTTTTATTGTCAATGACGTCAGTGGTATCCCTCGGTACAGTCAGGCTGGATAATTTCATCCAGGCCGATCGCTGCCATCACGATTGTTATCTCTTCTGGTACGTGTACGAGGCGCATCGGCATTTAGCAGGTGCGCGTCCGTATGGAGACTCGGCGGTGCGCAGCCGGTGAAGTAACGACGACTGGATGGAAGGCTGGTAACGCTAGTTAGAGTTAACTGGCTGCGTCAACTTTGTCTCAGGGAGTGTGCATCATCAGAGCCCCTCCACTATATTAACCCTAATGGCTCGCGAGGATATAAAGCACATCCCGCGCATACACTAACTCGTTATTATTGCCGCATAAATAACGTGATAATCCTCCAGCCGCGATGGGGTACGCTTTTCCTGGAGGGAGTCTTCCTCGAGAGTCCTGACTACCCCCTGGACGTATAAAGGCGAACCCGGGGCTTCTGGATACTCCGCCTAGCGGCTTTTCCACTAGCCACCCTTAATTTACACCCGGTTCACGCTGGATAACCATTCGTCCGTCCTAATTACCGATTTTACTATGGATTTCTCAGGGACTTCCACGCGACCTCGGGCTGTCCTCTGCCGTGACATTTGATCGTGGTTCTTGGGGGGGACGCGCGGGGTCCAAGGGATGCAGGTTGGAGTGAAAGAGGGTGAAACGTAGAGAGAGTCGGAGAAAGCTGGCTGGATGGCTGGCTGGTTGGCTGGCTGACTAGGTGGCTGGCTGGCTGGCTCGGCTGGCAGGCGGC